GCAATTTTAAATTCCTACATATTTATTTGTTTATGGTTAATACTATTAAAAAGAAAATTCTATCGCAGTCTTCAACAAAGTATATATATATATATATAACATTTTTATGTTTATACATTCTTTTTATGGATACAAATATTTAAGTAAATGCTCTGTTTTTATAATAAACAGTATTAAACAATATTTACCGGCCTGAATATCCGAGAAACTTTCACAAAAATTATCCGTCCTCCGATAGGAATCTAACCTGTATCCTATACGGAACTATCATACACCCTAACGTGCCTTAACCGTTTCGGTCACAGAGGACCGTTCGGTTAGCAAGCTCGATTTTACTGTCTTTAAATTTCAATCTTCCATGATTCTCTCATGTACATTCATATCTGCTCATTGCGTATCCAAATGTAAACAAATGACGTCACACATTATGAAGGTGAACAAAGTCCGACAATTATTTTAAGATATTTTTATGTTTATACATTCTTTTCATAGATACAAATAATTAAGTAAAATGTTCTGTTTATAATAAACAGTATTAAGCAACATTTACCGGCCTGAATGTCCGAGAAATTTTCACAGAAAATATTTGTCCACCGACAGGAATCGAACCTTTTCCAATTTCACACACACACACACACACACACACACACACACACACACACACACATATATATATATATATATATATATATATATATATATATATATATATATATATATATATATATCCTATCGTATAAACGATAGCAGACTTCCAAAACAATTTTGGCCAACTTCAAAGATAATCTGAAACATTCCAGCATCGCCTGTTCTTCCCGGTGTTATAGGGTCCACCCCTTTTTCATATAAGTGGACTCTACCAGTGTACCTGGACTGCCTCCGTTAAATACCCAGAGTAGTCGGATGGTGAGAGGGTAGTCGAAAAGAGAGAGAGAATATACGAACGGAGACAGTGTGAGGTAGCCTCTTGTAGAAGTCAGTTACAAGCACGTAGACTCTATGGAAGTTCTACTTCGAGACTGTATATATTCATCTGTATTTGCTACTAACCTCGTTCCTGGATTTGCTAACAGTATTACTCTTTGTATGATTGTGTAAATACATTTTATTTCTTATATTTAATTATTGCGTTTGTTCTTCATTGGAGACCGAATTCATCTCGGAATCCACAACAACCGGTAAAGCAAAATATCAGAGTGAAAGAGCTGGCGCCTTCTCTGCTTTTCATCTCTATAAAGGGTTGAGCAAGGCCGATAAACTGCGTGCAAATATTAAAGAAAGTTGGCAGGATACTGTTCCCCACAATAATAATCATACCTGCTACCGTAGTTTTGTCGCACGCATAAAAAAGACCTTGCTGACCAGTCGAGGAAAAAATTGATCCTCAACCACTCGAGCAGAATGGCACATGTTCCATCACTCTAAATGATTGCAAAAGAAGGCCTTGCGAGGTCCAAGGTTATAGAACCCTGTCCTGCTGGGGGAGGAAAGAATAGGATTAATACCTTTCCCAATGGTATTAGTACGTAAGGATATTTGCTAACCGCCTCACGGGGTCAGATATGGCACAAGGCCGAATTTAAAGTAGGGTATCCGAGCCCGTAGGCTCGGGTAAAAATTCCCCGTAGAACCCCAGACGAGACTTCGGCATAGTATTGTCTGGGTTCCTCTCTGCCTGTAGGCAGAGTTCAAATCTCCAACTAATTGCCGTATTAGCACGTAAGTTAATCTAATGGATTCGACTGCAATTCGAACTCGGTTCTCCGATTCCTCAATCCGGGCCGCTATCCACTACTCCACTGTGCCTCCTGAATTATTTTTATGTGCATGTGTGTGCGTGTGTGTAAAATTTCAGATATAACTAAAAATATATAGCTGTAAAAGAAGGACAATATCAATAAAGACAAAAGGAAAACTTATCATAACCGGCGCGTTTCGTCCTCTGATGAACGGTATTAATGAAAATGTACGAATTTTATTTCGCAAGAAATATTTATAAACAAAATTAAAAACGTTAGAAATTTTCAGTTATCCTGATGAATAATTATGAGCGTTTCTTAAATTTAAAAACGTTTTTTTTTCTTTTTACTTATGCTTAGAAAGACTTGTAAAATAAAATCCTTACATTTACCTTATTTCCATTAGAGGCCGAAACGTGTCAGCTACGGTACGTTTTCCCTTTACATATATATAGGCGTGTGTTTAGAGGTTTAGAAATAAACAATCTTCAACACAGCGCTACAATTTAAAAAAAATTAATATTGAGTATTATTTTTCTTTCAAACTAAAAGAAAAGAATTACAATATAACCGAAGCAATTGCGTTAGTATGATAACAAAATAAAATGTGTCTACATGTGAGAATGTGTGTTATGTATTTACGGTTTTTAGGTATGCGTTTAATTTCCTAATATCAGCAGTCAGTGAACAATAGCTGCATTAATACTTCTGCTAAAATCTGTGTTGCCAAATAACTGTTTTAGCGCTTCTAAACTCAACATCGCTAAGCATTTTTTGTAATATAGTATACTCGAATAAATATTCGGAATTATGGGTAATTAATTAAGTTTTGAGAATTTCAGCTTGTATAGCAACGAACAGAGGAACCTGGTCAAATGTTTACGGAATAACTGAGAATAGCCTCTGATTTTACTAAACTTATAAGTTTATTAGTTTTTAAGAAGGGAAAATATCATTGATCATTTTCTGAAGCAAGCTTTTAAATTTTCGTAGCAGACGATAAAAATTCTTCTTTAAAAATTAAAGTTTGATATGACATCTCTGGTTAATATATGTGAATGGGGAAAATTAAATTGTTTCCTATATTTTGCACAAAAATGCGTCAATTTTTGTGTTAGCCGCTTTTAGTACAGAATTGGAGTTTTTAGTGATATCATTTAAATCTCTAGTATTTTTCTACAATTCTGTAAAGGGGTCCTACACACACACACACAGACACATATATATATATATATATATATATATATATATAATGCGTATGTGTGTGTATTTAGGCAGCAAATGTTGTTTAAGGCAAATATTAACAATGTTATATAGGAATAAAATGTCGCTGCCGACACTTAATAGATAGATAGATAGATAGATAGATAGATAGATAGATAGATAGATAGATAGATATGAACAAAGTCTGAAATAAATAGATATGAACAAATACTAAAATAGATAGATAGATAGATAGATATGAACAAAGACTGAAATAGATAGATAGATAGATAGATAGATAGATAGATAGATAGATATGAACAAAGTCTGAAATAAATAGATATTAACAAATACTAAAATAGATAGATAGATAGATAGATAGATAGATAGATAGATAGATAGATAGATATGAACAAAGACTAAGATAGATAGATAGATAGATAGATAGATAGATAGATAGATAGATAGATAGATTTGGTTGAAGACTATAATAATCTTTAATTTGTGAAGGCTTTTATTTTATTTTTTTTACACTTTTTATTTAAGGCTTATAGATGTTATTCTCATTATCATTGTGCCATTATACTACTAAAATTATGCAAATCAGATCTTTTGAAAAGAACATTATTTCCTGAAGATGATCACAGTGAATGAAAATACTAGTATGAATAATATCGAAAATACATCTATAATCAAGAAACTTCATTAATAAAAATTATAGGCAAACAAACCAACTTATATTTAAAAAAAAACTTTCTCAAAATATAAATTTATATGTTATTCAGTCAAATATTAGCCACAAATACGTTTGCGAAAGGTATGAAACCATCTCCCCTCAATCTATGGGTTAAATAGTATGACTTTTATCTGGAGGTATCAGTATTGTTGTCAAAAAAATAATGCAATATTTACTTGCAAAAAAATAAGAATTATTTTTACAATATGTTTTAGCTTTAAATAACGGCCAAAGGGTTGATAAACCGTAAAAAGAACTAAGCATTCAGTCAATCAAAAAAGAGTATTTACAGCCCAAAATAAAAAAAAAATCCGGTGATATAATATTGATGTACAACGTCCGTATACGTATCGGTGACAACGTTGAAAGGGGAAAGATTTTCCACCATAGCTATCCCAGTTAATCAATCTTACAATTCTTCGAATGATCAGAGAAATTAATTCTATTGGTTTATCGAAATTCCTTCAATCGTAGTGCAAATTCGATGTATCTGCCACGATTCTGCTGTGACCCTTAGCCATTGGCTAATCGAGCAATTGGTTACACGTCGTTATTAAATTAGAACATTAAGTCAACAAAATCCAATTCCTGATTGATCACCTAGTTATGACTGCTTATCGAACATGATATCCAACTTGCCCGTATATCATATCAAAATAACACCAGTAAAATACAAATTCATGTTGAACATTACGAATAATTTAAATTTAAACCAGACATCATTTATGTTATTACAATATTCATTAAAATTTAATATTTTGTCATTATTTAAATAAATCTATAAAGAAAAGAATAGTTCATTCTGTTTGAAATATTTTCTGTGTATATGTGCCTGGCTTAAACTTCAATAAAATATTTAATCCTTGAAAATATATGTATCCTGATTTTAGCATGTCTCAAGAAAAGTTTTGATGAATATTTTGTTCTATATTTTTATAAAAATATATAATAAAAATATAAGGTCTTCATAAACAATTTATTTCTCTACTTTTTTTATATCAGCGAAGATATATGTAAATTGAAATCTTCAGCAATTACACCACCCACTCATCAGAACTTACAACAAGCGGTCACCCATCTAGCTGCTGACAAGGCTCGACGTTGCTTAACATCGGTGATCGTACACAAACCTGTGTTTCAACATATAATCGTAAGCCCATTATACCAACCGTACATGCAAACTTACAGAATTTGGTATTCTCTAGCCGTCACCCACTAGCTACTGACAAAGCCCGGTGTTGCTTAACATCGGTGATCGTACGCGAACCTGTGTTTGAACGTGATACATTCGTAAGCACATTATACCAACCGTATATGCAAACTTACAGCACCTGTCATTATCAAGGGGTAACCCATCTAGGCACTGACCAGGCTCGACGTTGCTTAACTTCGATGTTCGTACGAGAATCGGTGTTTCAACGTGATATAATCGTAAGCCCATTATACCAACCGTACATGCAAACTTACAGAATCTGGTATTCTCAAGCGGTCACCCATCTAGCTGCTGACAAGGCTAAACGTTGCTTAACATCGGTGATTGTACGCGAACCTGTGTTTCAACGTGATATAATCGTAAGTCCACTATACCAACCTCACATGCAAACTTACAGAATCTGGTATTCTCAAGCGGTCACCCATATAGCTGCTGACAAGGCTAGGCGTTGCTTAACATCGGTGATCATACACTAACCACTGTTTCAACGTGTTATAATCGTAAGCCCATTATACCAACCCTACATACAAACTTATAGCACCTGTAATTATCAACCGTTAAGCCATGTAGGTACTGACCAGGCCCGATGTTGCTTAACTTCGATGTTCGTATGAAAAGCGATATTTCAACGTGATGCAGCCGTAAGGTTGGATTTATACCGTTTATTTTACTTTTGGAGATAACAATGGTCTAGTGAAAACAGTCGTACTAATTAACCCATAGCAGGAGGAGAATAGGTGGATTTATACTTTTCCCAAGGGTTATTTGATCGTAAATGAATATAACGTACCAACTGGAATCGAAAATCGAGCCATTATCCGCACACCCGAGCTTACAGCACCTGGGATTCCTAAACGGTCACCCATCTAGGGACTTGCCAGGCTCGGCGTTGCTTAACTTCAGTGATAATACGAGAACCGGTGTTTCAATGTGATGTGGCCGTAAGTCACCATTACTCGGAAGCTGTCTATCCAGACGTCGTTCACCCGCTGTTATCACAAGGATAAAGCCTTTGTCCCCTTGAAAGGTTGTCATCAAAGTCACTAAGGATCACATCTATCACGGTTTTTAAAATCAGAATGAACTTTCTCTTAGACCAGCTACCAACCATGGCTAATGAAATCTGTCTAGCTTTTTTTATAGAATAGATAATCTATCGAGCTACATATCTACTTCAGTCTATTGTAGATTAGTGGTGTTCCGAAAATTTGGGACCTGAATATGATCCCTTTTACAATTTTTTTTTATGGGTTAAAGCTATTGCGCCTAGCATTTTGGCCATGCATCTCTAATATCCTGATGCGCCCTCTTTGCGACATATAGTTCATATTATTCAAAAAGTGTACACCTGTTCAAATGGAGGAAGCCTAAAAGTCCATCAACTTTAGTCAGTTATGTGCCATGTGTGATACACGCTTAGGCGATCATGTACCTTTCGATACATGACTGACGAGGCAGATTTTTTCCCGCAGTAGGTTACCATTTCTTTCTGCGGTAGACCAGTTGCCATCCAAGGCTATAGAACTCGGTCTGTCCTGATATTTACCCATAACTGGGGGGGGAAGAGGTGGATTCATACCTTTCCCAAGGGTATTAGCAGGTAAGTGAATGCAATGGATTCGACTAGAATTTGAACTCGGCTCTCCGATTCCTCTATCCGAGCCGCTATCCATTATTCTAACGTAATTTTTCTTAACATCTTGAGATCGCATATATGCAATAATATTAATTTCAGAATTTTACAATGTTTATAAAAAATATTGTGTTACTTATACAGATATGCATCTGGCATCTCATTTACAGTCGTTCTCTCACAGACGTGCCGTCGCTTCCCTCTGTCTTTTCTACAAATACTTTCACGGTAACTGCTCTGACGAGCAACTTTCGCTAGTTCCCAGACTGCGTGAATTTAAACGTGCCACTAGGTTGGGATCCCAGTCCCACCCTTTCGCTGTCGAAACGATTAAATGTAGCCGTCTCTTCTCCAATGGCTTCATGTCTCGCCCTTCCCATCTGTGGAACTCCCTTCCTCTTACTTGCTTTCTTGATAGCTATAATCTCCAACTATTCAAGTGCAATATCAATCGACATCTCCAGATGCCTTGATCTAATTCCACGGTCTTCTCTTCGTTCTTTCCTCTATCATGCCTCTTTACTCTTGCTCCCACTCTCTGTAACCCCTTGGATGCTAGTGGCACTCCCGCCTTGCTTGGTGTGAAATGCTTAATATATATATATATATATATATATATATATATATTACATACGTAATTACATACAAATATTTTTATGTATGCATATTGTGTATACACCGTATTAACTCGCACACACAGTCATATTCACACAGACTCACTAGAAAAAATTCACTGTTGATAACTCATTCTTGAATTTTCCCGCTTAAAAATCAAATTGCCATCTCGTGTGGAGCGTGCATATGACTTGGGGAACCTCGGTGTCGAAAAAACTCGAGAAAATTAGTGTTTTGAATTGTGGTATAAATAAGTAGATCTGCAGGTTTCTCTCCTCGCTGTGGCTAATTCTTTGTGGTCAGGCTGAGAACTTTTCGACACGTCATGGTTCATTTACGTTGTTATCACAAAATGTGAACGTTTTCATTCCTCTCGATATTTGCTTGTGATTTACATTCCGGAAAATTTCAGAAAAAAAAAAAACGAAGCCATTGACGACAACCGAAGTTGATGAGGATCGGATACTGCAGTGACGCGCTGTTATTGGGTGACTGATTTAAGAACAGAATACGCCGTAGGCCAGGCATAATCCAAATGCGAATTATCGACCACGCGGACTGACCTTCGTGGGCAAAAGTCAACAGTTGCGGTGCTGTGTACTGTCGGCAAAGGAAATTTCCTTCGAGGTAGACCACAATTACGACAGCCTGAGGGGAACAATGTTTGTTGAAAATTAAAATTCGGAAAAAAAAAAAATTAAAAAAAAAAGAGGCATATGTTTCTGACTCAGAAGAGGGGTCTATGTGCGCGTCTACATGTGTGTATGTGTGTGTGAGGCAGCCGGCCGATATGAAAAGCGTCAAGAACACTCCCACCTACTCTTTGTTGAAAGAACATCGCTACATATAATAAACGCTAGTCTCGACACCAAAATAGAATTACAATTGCGTATGTAGGTATGCTCGAACTCATAGATGTGTATCTGCGCTTAACCTTGGATTGTTTATATGGGTGTGTTTCTCCGAGCTATAATGTGTACACCTTTACGCACGTGCGTGTCTATGTGTGTGAGAGTGTCATCCCAAACATAGAGCAGAAGACAATTCCCCATCCCACACCAAACATAATTAAACACAGACAAGCATAAAAAAATCCAATTGTAAAAAAAATACGCCAGTTTGTCTGATGATTGCAAAAGCGTGAAAACCCATGGTCACAAACTCATATCAACACAACTGGATATATTAACCCTATCACTGATTTGGGGAACTTTCCACTTTCCATACGTAAATTTCAGAAATAAGTTATTCAAAAAAAAAAATTTCGCTTGAAGATGGAAGAGAGCTTAGTACTTTAATTCAATTTAATTCAAATAATTATAATGAAGTGTTCGGCTCTTGTTTTGAAACATGAGAACTCTTATGTAGCGTGTTGGAATCATATTTTTAAATAAATAATTATATATATATATATATATATATATATATATATATATATATATGTTGTGTGTGTATTTAGGCAGCATTTTTTCATTGATACATGCTTCATTAAATAATAGAGACAAGTGTTGTATATTTATTTTGTGCAAATTCTTTTCATATCGTCTGATAAGCTTAATAACATTATCATTAAACGAAGACAGAAAATCACAATATTGATCCATATGTTTTTATCGTATCTAAGCTTTAGGCTTACATAAGCCATTATCAAAGATGACAAATATTGTACAATATATTAAGCAATATACAGACAAGACGGTGATGATAGTCTGTGATTGTTTACATGGAAAGTTTCCAAACAACGATAAACTAGTGCATACGAGACGCTGGAATCGAAAATCGCACAGCAGCTCATGATGTTACACATGACCAGGCGAGAGTGAATTTGAGAAGTATTAAAAAATGGGAAGCCGTTGGTATAAACCAATGGCTTCTATTATCAATTATATATATATATATATATATATATATATATATATATATATATATATATATATATATATATATATATATATATATATATATATATATGCCTAAAATATATATTAAGGAGGCACAGTAGTTAGCGGCTTGGGTTGAGGAATCAGAGAGCCGAGTTCAAATTCCAGTCGAATCCATTAAATTCACTTTTACGTGCTAATACCCTTGGGAAATGTATGAATCTTCTTCTTCTCCACACAGCTATGGGTAAATAGCAGGACAGACTGGGTTCTATAGCCTTGGATGGCAACTGGTCTAGAAGAAGTACAACTCTGAATTCAAAACATGTCGTTTGGGGACATTGTGGAACCAAGTGCACTAGGTCTCTGTATTTGGCCCTTCAAAAGGTGTTGATGGTGCTGCCCTTCTTTATTCTGCACTATAATCAAATCTCACGAGCTGGTGTCGGTTCCTAGGAAGTGATCTGCTTGACCCTCATACGACGAATTCGACGGGAGTGCCGAATATATATATATATATATATATATATATATATATATATATATGCCCGGGGCAATATCAGACAGGTAATTATTACATGTAATATACATCTGACGCAGACGGCATAGGATTCCGCGATAGGCCAACACCTTTTCGATAATCCAGATAGTGCGTGCAAATAAACGGATTTGTGGGTTTTAAATTAGGACAAAGGACGCTCAGTAAAATATCTGCACACTCCAGAGGCAGTATATTTTAAATTGCAACGACCATCTTTGGAGCGACAGAAAGAGAAATTTATTCGTTCTCTTTCTTTACGGAGAGGTTTTTGAGTCAATATTTTCCTTTTTATATTCGCCGGAACTATTTATTCCTCCTCTTTTATATTCTTCCTTTCCTTATTAATTTAAAATTGTATTTTTAATCTCAGTTTCTCGTTTCCTTGTCCCGTTTGTCTATCACTCCGGACGATTCTCGTTAACATTTTTTAAAATTGTATTTTAGTCGCCTCGTTTCGATTCTTCTGATTTTACTAATCGCCAACGATTCTTCTGATGGTGTTGGCAAAAAAAGGTTACCTTTTATATTCGCCGGGACTATTTATTCCTCCTCTTTTATATTCTTCCTTTCCTTATTAATTTAAAATTGTATTTTAATCTCAGTTTCTCGTTTCCTCCCCGTTTGTCTATCACTCCGCGATTCTCGTTAACATTTTACTAATCGCCAACGATTCTTCTGATGAGGTGTTGGCAAAAAAAAAGGTTACCTTTTATATTCGCCGGGACTATTTATTCCTCCTCTTTTATATTCTTCCTTTCCTTATTAATTTAAAATTGTATTTTAATCTCAGTTTCTCGTTTCCTCCCCGTTTGTCTATCACTCCGCGATTCTCGTTAACATTTTACTAATCGCCAACGATTCTTCTGATGAGGTGTTGGCAGAAAAAAGGTTACCTTTTATATTCGCCGGGACTATTTATTCCTCCTCTTTTATATTCTTCCTTTCCTTATTAATTTAAAATTGTATTTTAATCTCAGTTTCTCGTTTCCTCCCCGTTTGTCTATCACTCCGCGATTCTCGTTAACATTTTACTAATCGCCAACGATTCTTCTGATGAGGTGTTGGCTCGTTTTTAATCCCTTTTGTCTATATATTCGCTCCGGACTATTTATTCCTCCTCTTTTATATTCTTCCTTTCCTTATTAATTTAAAATTGTATTTTAATCTCAGTTTCTCGTTTCCTCCCCGTTTGTCTATCACTCCGCGATTCTCGTTAACATTTTACTAATCGCCAACGATTCTTCTGATGAGGTGTTGGCAAAAAAAAAGGTTACCT